GTAAACTGCGAAAATTAAGTCTCAAAATCCAAATGAACCGAACAAGACTGACTCGAACTAGACGTTAATTAATGCACGCGTGTCACCTGATCCACATATGCATAGATTCCTTTTTGCATTAGCAATTTATGATATATTAATGCAGAACAGAACATTTTTATTCACAAACATGTCTGTATTTGTACAAATCGCTGCACAATCATTTAATTCCGAATTACACAGACTCAAATTGAAAGACATTTGTTTGTGGTTAGTAAGATACATGTATAAAATGTATGCAGTACATGGATAATTGTGCGTGCATCTATTAATCATTTAGAGTCTAATATCATCCCATACACTGACAGCAACTCAGTGGACTTGTGTCGCATTTGGTTCATGCTTTTGCATTTCTCGTTTCTTCAGCTTCCCACACACTGGCACTCTTTATTTTATGTGGTAGGCTATTATAAATTACAGGCATAAAAATATAGCTTACAGACTGTATGATGTCATATTACATTGCTGACTGATACTTTTTTATTTTATCTGACTTAATAAGGCGAATAAATCTAAAGTTAAAATAACTGCTTATATTGATATATAAAATATTATATAATATTGCGGTCATATTTTTATATATTTCAGGCTTTATTAAGTGACGTTGAGGGGAAGGACTTCGTAAAAATCGTAATCGATAGTTCGTTTAGCGCCCTTAGCACAATTACCCAGCTGTCAGCTATCTCAAAGATACTAACGATTTTTCTCATAAATCTGTCATGTGCTAATCTACAACAACGTGAATATTTGTTTGTTTGTCGATGTAGCGTCGAGAACTGTGTTACGGTTACCGGCAAAGGCGACTTTTGTTTGCGAAAACTAGGCTAACTTGTATTCTAACTTTTGTGTTTTTTCTATTTTTAATTTTTTTTTAATGTAAGTACTGATACAAAAGGAACAGAAGTAGGTCGCTTCCTGTAAGCTTTCTTTAACGCTTCCTGTACGCTTCCGCTCCCAACACAACACAATATGAGGTCACACCTATTATATTTATTAATTATTTGACCTTTAACGTCCTCTGCTTAAACCAACAGACCTTTCCTCAGACTGGAACAGAGGATCCAAACCAAATCTCTCTCTGCTTGAATGGCTCTCCCGACTGAATAAATCCCTATCTCTTATTTCATTGCGAGTTGGTCTAATTAGGCCTACTTATGCAAAAATGCAGATTTCTATTAATTAGTTTGTCCGCTGATTAGTTCTGGGGTATTTTGGAGCAATAAATCATGCGGAGGCGCTCGTTTTGGCTTGTGACCCATCTGTGCAGCTCTGTGGATTCTGTGTTTCTTTAGTTCAAGGGCTCGTTTGGGTTGCAGGTAAGGCCACCTGCTGCATATGGGGCCAGTGCGGCCTCTCGAGGCAGCCTGCTGCTCTCTACAACAGCATTTCAATTCACACGCATTTAACAAGAAAATAAACGGCTAACACCGGTAAAATAATTTCCTTTAACAAGTCGTTAATGTTATATAGCCTAATAAAAAACATCAAGTAGATCATGCAACGAATATATTCATCTAGCCTATTTGAACTAATGATCTGTGTGGCATGTGTGTTATCTAATGAAATAATGCTTATTAATGTTGTATTAAAAGTGCTTGTGTATAAAATATATAAAAAATATATATATTTAAAACATTTGTATTCATGTTTAACAAAAAACACCAGAGTTCTACGAATTAGAAATCATTTTGTTCAGGCCTAAATGTTTTATTTAGCAAGCGTTTATGAAATACATTTCCAGATTATGTACAAAGATTAAACAGTATAACGTTGGCTTTCACCTTATTGTAGCCTATTTAGCGTAAATGTACTGTTAATATATTATGTTATTTAAAATGCTTATAGTCGCATTTTACGTTTAATATTCATTTCACTGGAACCCTGTGTATGTGTATGAGATCGGAGCTACGATTCTGAAGAGTCTAATCATGGTCACGTGCGCCATCGTCTGATTACATTGAAAAACTACACTGATAAAACGGCAAGCAACATTGAATTAAATGTGAAAATTTGAATTAGACTGTAATAGTATTTTCTTGTTACATGTAATCTAATTATATTAGTTTTATTTACAATTTAGAAAAAATAATTTGTTACAGTCTTTTTCAAAATGTCTGTATGTAAGGTTAAATTATAGAATATTTGAAATAACAATTTATGAAATATAGGCCTACTGATATAATATTATATAATTTATACATTACATTTCCTATAAAAGATATTTATATTTATAAAATACATTTGTCCTGAGAATACAGTTCAACCTTTTATTCATGCAACAGCTGTTAAAAATATGCTGATGTTGAAATTTTCGTTTGAAGGGTAAAATGATTGTAATTTAAAAGAGTTTTTGAGGTGTTTGAAACATAAGAGTCCACTGCTAGAGCAAACAAACATTTGCAAAATTTGATTATTGACTCAAAACCTTACTAAATTCATTAAATAAGGTCTAGTCCCTGTGTGACGACTATCCTGGCCTCCCCTACCTCAATAATCTCGAACACCAGTTTTACTTAATTTGCTGTAAAGTTGCTTTGCAATGATTTGTATCGTGAAAAGCGCTGTACAAATAAACTTGAATTGAATTGAATTGAATTGAATTACTATTAAATATACTGTGTTTTTACTTCACAAGCAAACATTTTAAAGGTCACCAGCGTTATTTGAGCAGTCCAAAAATTCTAGCAAGCTCATACAGTTCTGCAGTTTTATAGCATATGTTGCCATTTCCATGAGTAGTGTTTTACCTTGCATTTAAGATGAAACTTATCAAATACTGAAGTGTATTATGTATTTTAGGGGGGCAGATATGCTCTACTCATATATCATATTCAGAAACATTTAGGATTCATAATATCAAAGGGATAACCATTGTTGTGCACCTCTGAGATATATTGCTTCAGAAAAACTGACAGTGGTCCATAAATCAAGTTGTAACCATCCACTGGGTAATAACATGAACACAATACCTCTTCCCATCTGTTTTATTTGCAAAAGAACAGTAAGTAAGATTCCACTGAGAAATGTTGGCAATACAATTGAATCGAATTAGCAATTACTTCAATTTTGCTGAAACAAACAGGTATCACATAGGCAAATTTCAGCAGTCTTATTTTTTACTAAGCATTCCTTGTGAATTATTCTGGAGCACTTAACATAGACTGAAGCAACTACATTATAGAAGTTTTAATATATGTCTGTTTAAAATCTTTTCCCTTCTGGAAACACAGCGTGGTGTATTATTCTGTTGACTTACAACAGCTCGAGTGGTGTTGTAAATCAGCTGCCTCCTTTTCAGCTGTAGATTGTATGCGTTGACCATCATGCAGGGTAGTGAATAAGATCAATTGTGGCTTCATAGTCTCATGGTTAGACGTCTATCACAGGTGCTTCATCACAAATGGATTGGTCGGTTAACCACTTCCTTGCCTTGCTTAGTGATGTAACTTCCTTTTGAGCTGATCCACAGACATCTGCTGTTAGTTGTATGACAGGTTTAATTTTTCTCATAAAGACATCTTTACTTTGTTTACGCTGACAGGAATCTTGTTGATCAATAACCAAAACAGCTGAGACTTTTAAAAAAATAATCTGAAAATGCATTTTGTACTTACATTTGTAACTTCATAGCAATCGGTATTTGGTATTCATTCTTGGATGTTGGTACTGGGAAAGTCTAATATTAATCTCACATAGAGTGATCATTTACATCTATCTATCTATCTATCTATCTATCTATCATCCATCCATCCATACATCCATCCATCCATCCATCCATCCATCCTATATCCATCCATCCTATACCCAACCATCCATCCATCCATCCATCTATCCATCTATCTATCTATCTATCTATCTATCTATCTATCTATCTATCTATCTATCTATCTATCTATCTATCTATCTATCTATCTATCTATCTATCTATCTATCTATCTATCTATCTATCTATCTATCTATCTATCTATCTATCTATCTATCTATCTATCTATCTATCTATCTATCTATCTATCTATCTATCTATCTATCTATCTATCTATCTATCTATCTATCTATCTATCTATCTATCTATCTATCTATCTATCTATCTATCTATCTATCTATCTATCTATCTATCTATCTATCTATCCATCCATCCATCCATCCATCCATCCATCCATCTATAGTGTAATCTAAAAGTATTTTTTAATGTTGTAATTAAAACAAAGATTAGCCTATTGGAGTATGCTTTACAAGAAAATACTATTTCAGTCTTTCTACTTCTAATTTAACGTTTAATTCAATGTGTTATTTGCCTTTTTTTTTTTTTTTTTAAAGTGAAACTTACTAGAAATGTCTGAGTGGAAAAAAAGCAAACATTTTAGAACATTTTATTTTCAGTGTTATACGTAGATTTCACATTGCAAATGCCAGGTGTGACTGTTATTGAGAAATCAGTTTTGGATCAGGTAGGAATGGTGCACTGCATATCTTCTTCCAGCAGGTTTCAGGCCAGGCATATTTTTGGGCTCCGTCTCGCCCATGTTGTTACTTTTCACTATTTTTTTCCGGAAGCGGAAGCATTGTACTTGAAGTTTTGGAATAGTTTTGCCAGATGATTCAGTGCACTAGATACTTTCTAACTATCAGCGCGCGATCATCATCATGTCCTGTTGAGATGGTAAGATGTGTTTTTCTGCTATTTTAGGGCTGGTACAGTTGCTTTCTCTAGTGTTTGTTTTTAATCTTGCGCGTTATTATGCATTAGCCTGTGGATTGAGGTTGGTTTACGCGCAGATGCGCACTGAAAAACAGATATGTAAGCGCTCGTGCTAGTTTAATGCGTAATGTGGCGTTTCAGAACCCGCGCGTTCCTTTCTAAAGTTTATTTACAGAGTCTAATGGAGTTGTTTTGCATGCGCGTGTGATTGAAACAGTGTATTAGTATTCATATTCTGGAAAAGCAAAGTGAAGGGAACGTTTGCACTGTAATAAATTGGGCTTCTAGATTCGGGATAACAGTTGTGCTACTAATCGGATGACGTTACAGTGAAGTTTTTTTCTTTTTTTTTTTTCTTTGGTTGACACTGATGATCATGGTTATGATAGTGGGTCATGTCAGTGTCACCTGCTTCATCCTCCTGTTTAGGTCTGGAAAGCGACCAAAAGTAGAGTTCATAGCCTTATTAGATAATCTTGATTTGCTTGAGCTTTTGTGATGGTTATTGAAATGATAATGGAATGCTTTTCAAAGTTGATACGCTAGTATCTCACTTATTGCATTCTTGATCCATTACGAATCAGGCTAGATGACTATAAAGAAAGTAATCATTTAAGGCCACCCAGAGAGCTCACCTAAAGTGGTAGGCTTTATGCTTGTGTTTACGTTATGTTGACCATCCCAGATTACATCTTTTTTTTTTCTGTAGTCTGGAAAATGTATTTCATTTGATCCATTGTGCTGTTAAGAGAAGCTTATTTTTTTCGACTGGTGATCTCAAACGTGTTCTTAAAGTGGACCACCTGAACAGTAAAACAAATATTGCAGACCACTTAACATCTTAAATCTGGGGAAAACTACCTCAGAACAGTTACATGCCGTTTTATGTAATGTAAAAATAAGTTTGTACAATATATCTTGAAATAGCCTTTCACCAATTCAATGTTGCCGGAAGCTGGATCCAACATTTTACACTGACTGACATATAACTGTCAGTTATGTTAATTAAGTAGGCCTACTGTCAGTTATGTTAGTAATTATTTTGGATCAGTTATTTATTGTTATTAGTTAATCACTTGATTAATTAAATGTTGGTGCTTCCTATCAGTTTGTTATTTTATTTATGTAAACTACTGTTCAAAAGTTTAAGGTCGGTACTTTTATTTACGAGTGATGCATTTAATTAATCAAAAAGTGACAGTAAAAAAATGTTTAAAATGTTACAGAATTTTATTGATTTATTTATTTTCAAGTAAATGCTATTCATCAAAGAATCCTGAAAAAAATGTATTATGATTTTCATGAAAATATAACACACCTCAACTGTTTTCAACATTGATAATAAGAAGAAATGTTTCTTTAGCAGAATCTCAGCATATTAGAATGATTTCTGAAGGATCATGTGACACTGAAGACTTGAGTAATGATGCAAATTCAGCTTTGTCATCACAGGAATAAATAACATCTTAAAATATATTAAAACAGAAAACAGTTATTTTAAATTGTATTGATATTTCACAGTATTACAATATTTACTGTATATATCTGTATATTTACTAATCATTAAAGGACCACTGATGCTTCACTGACAGCAGTTTGAGAACCACTTTTTTTTTTTTTTTACTGATCTCAAGCTTTAGTGCTCTTAACCATTGTCAGGTTTTCCTAATTTAGTCTAGTGGCTCTCAAGTCTCCTTAAAAGTTCACTCCACTCTCTCGTGTTCGTGACTTTTCCACAGTTTTATGTGAATATTGAAAGTAGGGCAGCTCTGTTCTATGCAAACATAAAGGCAGGAGTGCTGTCTTCTGGGTGTCTTCAGATAACATTGGTCAGGTGTAAACACAGCTGACATATGAGTGTGTGTAAAAGAGAGTGTGTTTGAGCAAATGAGAGATACTGGTGTGTATTTACAGAGATAACACGGGTGAATCCATGTTGTCGCATGATTTACTGCATTCCTGCCCCAGGGAGAGACAGTGTAAACGCGTTCATAAAAGAAAAGTTCATCCAAAAACAAAACCATCCAAAAAATGACTCGCCACTGTAGATTTACAAATATAGGAATAGACTGACGTTTAAGCTGTCATCGACTGCAAGAGCTCTGAAAACTCATTTGCGATTTTTGTTATTCAAACTCGCTGCATTGCAATCAGTAAAATTTCCATTTGCTTGAACTATCTCTTTAACAAGAGAAATCAGCATTAGTGGTTGGAAAAGTAAGCCGAGTTTTTGTGTTAACAGGTCTCGAGTTGCTTTTTGTGGAAAATGTGTCACGCTAACTAAACAAAAGGTGTGGTCCTTAGCAAAGTACTGTTATTTACAATGGAAAGTTAGATTATATTAAAGTGAACCATTTCCATTGATGCCTTTGTAACAGTCACTGCAACTACATATTGCATTTCCTTCCCAGGTCTAGATGCCATCTAGATTAGTTTGGCTTAATGCCTGCTGTTTCAGATCCAAGGAACAATTTTCTAAGCCATCAGCTGTAATATTTCCATATTAGACATGCAAAACTGTTGTTATGTGCCGACTGCTGATGCTGTGTTATTGGTACATAATGAAGAAGGAAAGTCTTTAACATTAAAGCAACACAGACTGAAGCAGGTTCGAAAGTTTTCTGAGGTGTTTCTGATTGCATTTTTGTCTCATGCTTTGCTTCACCGAAGCATCTTACAAATAGCTTATTGCAGGAGAAGAAAAGGTCCTGTGGGGCTAATATGAATGCTATCGGGGGGCTTTGTCCACAGGAAATGAATTCAGCTAGGGACCTGAAACAGACCTCAAGAGAAAGGCTTCAAAGAGACACGAGGGAAATGACACTGTTGTGTTGTACAGTTTACATTACTCGCTCAATAATTGTTAGTAAGATGAGGGTTTAGTAAATACTCCATAAACCCCATGAAATGGTATGACTACAAGCACAGAATTCTTTTCTTTTTGGATGTATTGAAATTGAAGTTTTGACAAGGTTTTTGTTTAATCATGAGTCATGATTTGCTACTTGCTAATGCTAGTCAAATGTAAAAGGAGTGATATTCTCATTCTAGAAAGCTAAAAATGGATACGACCACGAGTGTGTCAATATTTTTGGTTAATTTTGCTATTCATATTTGAATGTATATCGACTACCATACAAATGTTTCGGGGCAGACTCCGTAAAGAAAAAAAAAATTGTCTTTATTCAGCAAGCAAGGATGCATTGCTCAAAAGTGAGAGTAAATACATTTATAATGTTATAAAAGATTTATATTTCAACTAAATGATATTCCTTTTGAACGTTCTATTCATCAAAGATCCTGAAAAAATGTATCATGGTTTCCACAAAAATATCAGGCTGTACAACTGTTTTCAACATTAATAATGATAATCAAAAATGTTTCTTAAGCACCAAATCAGCATATTAGTATGATTTCTGAAGGATCATGTGACACTGAAGACTGGAGTAATGATGCTGAAAATTCAGCTTCGTCATCACAAGAAAAAACAAGCATTTTAAAATATATTAAAATAGAAAATAGTTATTTTTAAATTGAAATAATATTTCACAGTATCACTGTTTTTATTGTATTTTTGATCAAATAAATGTAGTATATTACTGTATATATGACTTCAGGGCTAAGACACATTACTCACAGTTTTCTACATTTAGATGACAGTGATCCTGACAGGTGAGACATTTTTGGACAGTGAGAACTAGTTTACATGGTCTCAAAAGCTTTTAGCCCCAAGGCTAGCGCTTTCTAAAGCAAAACAGAGCATGTTATACCCCCTTTACTGTGGGAAAATCAGAGTAAAGCTTATTGCTTTCATAAAATGTGATTATATTAAAGGGATAGTTTACCCCAAAATGAAAATTCTGTCATTATTTACTCAACCTCATGCCATTCAAAACCTGCATGACTTTCCTTTCTCTTTGAAACGTAAATACAGAATGTTTGGAACACATTTTTTTTATTGTCCATATACAATGAAAATCAATGGAGCTCAGTGTTGTTTGGACAGTTCTGATGACAGAATTTCATTCATGTGTAAAATTTCCCATTAATGTGAATAAGAAACACCAAAGAGTTACGTTTATTAATTATAAAAGTGCCAAGTAATATAGTTTATTAGCCTAACTGTAGACCGTTTATAGTCGCCAAACAACTTAATATTCGCAAGTGGGTTTATCTACAGTTTCCAGTGACGTTAAAAACGACTCACCGAATCAGAATTTTTCAAAGTTTTATAATGACATTGTAAGCTTTGACATTTACCCCCCCCAGCTTGAAATTCATGTGAAAGAGCTGCCATTAAATATTCACTACTTGTACTTCAGGCAGTGCTGTAGGCAGTTCTGTGTTGTGAATTAAACAGGGCATCTAAGAGTAGCTGGAATGAAAAGCAGTGCATTCATAATCCATCAGGACCATGTGCTGAGATGTTTACAGTGCTGTTCTGAAGAAGCGTGGCGGCCTGATGAATCTCGCATTGGTTTATCTCATCAACTCCCTCCTATTGCTTTCCATATTTTTTCCATAATCTGACCCCTTGCCCAGGCCTAGTGCCTGGGATTCCAGCCAGCCCTCCTCTGGGTCCCATGTCAGTGCTATTCATCACAAGGGTGTGTGCGCGCGTTTGTAATGTTATGGAAAAATAAAACATATTACTCACTTAAACTTTACTCTGTGTGGTGCTGAGAGTTGAAGATTTCCACTAAAAGGCATGAAATCGGAGCCTCACCTGTTCATGACTGAATCCCAGTGTCTGTTGTGCTAGCATGCTAACGGTAACACCCTGGGCGCTCCATATGTTTGTTTCACATTGGGCAAATTGAAACACTGGGAACTGCTGACCTTGTTCAGGCTAATGATTAAACCGTTTTATCATAATGCTGGTACATGGTGTGTCTCTGTGGTTGGACCTTTAACAAATAGGCAGACGATGAGGAGGCCCAGGCTTGTATAATCAGTTCTTT